CGGAGGGGCTGCCGCGGGGCACGGAGGGGCTGTGGAGGGTGTGGGGCTCAGGTGCTGCCAGCCGTGCCAGCGGTGCCAGCGGTGCCGTTGCCGCGCGCAGGGGACACGGTGTACTCCTTTGACCTGGAGCTGCGGGTGACAAAGCCGCGCACGTGGCCGGGGCTGGGCCCCTGCGACGCTGCCCTGCGCTGGCTGGAGCGGTACTACTGCCTGCGGGGGACCCAGTTCCAGCGCTTCGACCCCCTCACGGGCGAGGTGCCCCCCGGGTACCCCCGTGACCTTCGAGACTACTTCATACCCTGCCCAGGCCGAGGTGAGCGCCCGGCCACCCCCCGGGGACCCACATCCACCCTGGGGACCCTCCTGGGGACCCACCGGGGGATCCTACCCTGGGGACTCCCTCCCACGGGGCCCGGGTGCCTGGGCACCCAGCCCCAGAGCGGCAGAGGGACCCCGGACCCCCGCCCCAGGCTGCCCTGGGGTTTGGCCACTGCTGCCCGTCCTGTGCTGCCTGCCCCTGCCTGCAGCACCCTGGCCTCACTGCCAGTGCTGTCGCTGCCACCAGGGCACGGGCAGGGCAACGCCTCGTGGGGGGACGCTGGTGACCGCTGCAGCGAGATGCCCTTCCAGGCCCTCCTCTCCGACGACACCGGACGCATCTACGCCTTCCGCGGTGAGGGACGGCGGGGGGCTGGGGCTGGGGGACGCTGTGCCCGCGGCACCGCTGGGGGCTGCGGGCGGTCGTGACGATGGCAGCGCTGGGGGCCGTGGGGCTGTGGGGTGGAGGACTGTGGTCCCAGCCACTCCATAGGGCCACGGAGTGTGGAGCCGGCTGCGCTGTGGGGCTGTGGGGCGGGGGCTGTGGTTGTGGCTGTGCTGTGGGGCAGGGTCCGTGGGGCAGGGCCGCTGACGCAGCCTGTAGGGGGTCTGTCCTTCCGCCTGGACTCGCGGCGGGACGGGCACCACGCGTGGCCCCTGGGACAGACGGGGGCGGGGGTGGGGCCCCTGTGGGTCCTTGACCCCAGCCCCAGTTCGCCGCCCCACCGGCCACTGGTGAGACCCCCCCCAGCCCTGCGCCTGAGACCGGGCAGCTCAGGCACCTCGAACCTGGCACCGGGGCTGCTGGGGGATGTCACCCCCCGGGACCAGGGCACCTCGGGGGCGCCAGCCCTCCCTGGGGCAGCCTGGGGACGCGGTGGTGCAGGACGCTGCAGTGCCCCCAGGGCTGCGCTGCCCTTGCCCCCAGCCCACCCTGTCCCTTCCCACCCCACGCCCGTCTCTGCCCACCCTTGCCCACCGGCGGCCCCCACCCTCCGCTCTCCCCAGGGCTCCCAGGTCTCCATCTTCCTCTCGGAGCAAGGCCACCGGCGGGGGGGGGGGGGGCCCGCGAGCGCTGCAGGAGGAGCTGGGGGTCCCCAGCGCCGACGCTGCCTTCACCTGCCCTGACTCCGCACACCTCTACCTCATCACAGGTGGGCAGCCGGCGCGCCGGGACCCTCCAGTGCTGGGGTCTCTGCCGGGGCGCAGGGCTGATGGGTGCTGTGCTGGCAGGGGACCGCGTTCGGCTGGTCTGCCCCACGACCACGTGGATGGCGCCATGTGCACCAACAACGGCGTCTTCCTCTTCCACGGCCCCAGCTACTACCAGTACCCCAGCGTGGCCCAGCTGCTGGGGGCCCAACAGCCTGCCCCCGCCCAGAGCATCGCCACCCACTTCTTCCACTGCCGCCAGTGACCGGGGCCGGTGCCACCGCCCGGGCCCCGGCGGCGCTGCCGGCAGCGGGACTCTGCTGACCCCAGCCTGCCTGTGCCTGGGACGCAATAAAAGCCAGGGAGACCCCGAGATCCCCCCTGCTCTGTCTGGGGGTGCTGGGGGGGTGGTGGGGCCGGTGCAGCTGGGTCGCAGTGGCCGCAGGGCGGCATGGTGCTGTCCCTGTCCCCGTCCCCATGCCTGTCCCCATGCCTGTGCCACCCCGGCCGGGTGCAGCAGGGACAGCAGGGCAGGACCCAGCGGGTGCAGGTGCCCAGGGCCTTGCGGGGGTGTCCTGGTAGGGGACACCAGGGGACGTGGTACCAGGAGGCAGTCCAAGGCTGTGCCAAGCTGTGCTGGGCTGTACTGGGCTGAACTGGGCTGAACTGGGCTGAACCATGCTGTGCTGTGCCGCACAGCACCGCCCGGTGCCAAGCCACACCATACCGTGCCGACTGAAACATGTCGTCCTGTAACGCGCCACAGTACAGCGTGCTGTGCTGTGCTGCACCCCACGGCACTGCGTCATGCCATGCTGTGCCATGCTGTACCGTACCATGCTGTGCTGTACTGTGCCCTGCCGCACCATCCCACACAGCACCCTGTCCTGTTGCTCTGTGCCACACCGTGCCATGCTGCACCGTACCATACCGTACCGACCCGCACCATCTGTGCTGTGCCATGTTGTGCCGCTCTGTGCTGTCCCGTCCTGCCTGGAGCCATGCTGGCGTGCTAGGCTGAGCCGTGCCACGCCACAGCCCTGTGCCGTGCCATGCCTTCCTGCCTGGCGCTGGGGAGGGCACCCCTGGGGCGCTGGCTCCAGCGCCGGGATCCCCAGTAGGAGCCAGGGACGCGCTGGGCAGAGCCCAGCCAAGGCCGTGAGATGCTGCGGGGGCTGGGGCGTCCCTGGGGCCGGGGGGGCCCGAGCTGGAGAGGAGCTGGCAGGGGGCTCCCATCCACAGGCACCAGCGCCAGCTGGAGCAGCTGCAGGAGGAGCCGGGCTCTCCCCGGTGGTGCCCGCACCAGGGCCATGGGCACCAACTGGCACACGGGGGGTTCCGCCGAGCACCAGGGGACCCTCGTCACCATGGGGGTGACACCAGCACAGGCTGCCTGGGGCGGTGGTGGGGTCGCCATCCTCAGGGGCTGGACATGGCCCTGGGCCACCGGCTCCGGGGGAGTGGGGCTGGACCAGAGGGACCCCATAGGTGCCGCCAGCATCACCGGGCGGTGACCGATGCTGCGGTTCCCTCCCAGCCCACCCTGCTCCTGCAGTGCCCCGCCATGCCGTGCTGTGCCGTACCAGTGCCCTGTGTGCCCCCCATGCCACGCCATGCCGTGCTGTGCCGTACCAGTGCCCTGTGTGACCCCCTGCCATGCTCTGCTGTGCCGTACCAGTGCCCTGTGTGCCACCCATGCCACGCCATGCCGTGCTGTGCCGTACCAGTGCCCTGTGTGCCCCCCCTGCCATGCTGTGCTGCGCCGTACCAGCACCCTGTGTGCCCCCCATGCCATGCTGTGCTGTGCCGTACCAGTGCCCCGTGTGCCATCCCGTGCTGTGCCGTACCAGCACCCTGTGTGCCCCCCGTGCTGTACCATGCTGTGCGTTGCCGTACCAGTGCCCCGTGTGCCATCCCGTGCTGTGCCATGCCACACCAGCGCCCTGTGTCCCCCCATGCCGTGCCGTACCAATCCCTTCTGTGCCCCACCGCTGCCCTGGGCTCTGCTCCACTGCCGGTGCTGTTCGGGGCCATGCTGCACACGTGTCCCATCCAGTGCCATGCTGTTCTGTGCCATTCTGTGCCATGCATCCCCACACCGTATGGTACACCGTGATGTACCGTGCACTACCGCCCAGCACCGTGTGTCCCTGCTTTGCACTGTCTGGCTCTGTGCTGCTCCACGCGTGCTGAGCCGTGCCGTGCTGCACCCTTCTGGGCCGTACCCTGCCCCTCGGTGCTGTGCCGTGCTACACTGTGCCGTACTGTGCTGTGCTCAGCTGTGCCATGCTGTACTGTGCCAGATGGGATGGTGCCGTGCCACGCCACGCTGTGCCGTGCTGTGCCATGCTGTGCCGTGCCATGCCACGCTGTGCCGTGCTGTGCCACGCTGTGCTGTGCCAGATGGGACGGTGCCATGCGGGGCTGTGCCAGGCTGCTCTGCACCATCAGGCGCTGCTCTGGGCTGCTCCCCACTGTCTGTGCCGTGCCATGCCGTGCCACGCCGTGCCACACCGTGTTGTGCCGTGCCACGCCGTGCTGTGCCGTGCTGTTAGGTACCACACCCTTCTGGGCCCTGCCGTGCTGCCCTGCTCTGCTGTGCTCCCTGCTGTCCCGTGCCGTGCCGTACCGTACTGTGCCATGCTGTGCCGTGCTGTGCTGTACTATGCCATACCGTGCCGTACCGTACTGTGCCATACCATGGTGTGCCATGCTGTGCCATACCATACCATACCATGCTGTGCCGTACCGTGCTGTGCCATACCATGCCATACTGTGCCATGCTGTACTGTACCATGCCATACCATGCCGTGCCGTGCTGTTCCATACCCACTGTACCATACCATACCGTGCTGTGCTGTGCCATACTGTACCGTACTGTGCTGTGCCATGCCACACCATACTGTACCGTGCCATACCATGCCATGCTGTGCTGCACCGTACCGTACTGTGCTGTACCATACCGTACCGTGCCATACTGTGCCATGCCGTGCCGTGCCGTACCGTGCCGTGCCATCCTGGGCTGTGCTGTGCCGTGCAGACAGATCCCTGCCGCTGCTGCTGTCAGTGCCGGTGCCGCTGTCACTGCTGGTACTGCTGTCACCGCTGGTACCAGTGCCGCTGTCAGTGCTGGTACTGGTGTTACTGGTGCTGTCAGTGCCAGTACCGGTGTCACTGCTGGTACCGGTGGCAGTGCCGGTCGGTGCCAATGTTGGTGCCGGTGTCACTGCAGGTGCCGATGTCACTGCTGGTACCAGTGCCGCTGTCAGTGCCAGTGCCGCTGTCACCGTCGGTACCGCTGTCACTGCCGGTACCGCTGTCACTGCCGGTACCGGTGCCACTGCTGGTGCCGGTGGCAGTGCCGGTCGGTGCCAGAGTCAGCGCAGCTGTCACTGCAGGTGCCGATGTCACTGCTGGTACCAGTGCCGCTGTCAGTGCTGGTACTGGTGTTACTGGTGCTGTCAGTGCCAGTACCGGTGTCACTGCTGGTACCGGTGGCAGTGCCGGTCGGTGCCCATGTTGGTGCCGGGGGCACTGCGGG